TTTTTTTTTTTTTTTTTTTCTCCCCCATCTCATTTCTCTTCGTGCACTGTTTCCGAACTCTATTGACCAGAATCCCGGGACCCTTACCACCTTGCGTGTACTGTACTCGTACGGGGGAGAAATAATATAAAAATATAAAAATATAAAAAAAAATAGTATGATACCTGTACAGTACTCGTGCCAGTAACTTAAGGCAAAAATGACCGCAAATGAACCATTTTCGTGCACACCAATTTTAACATGAAACAGCTGAACAAACTGGTAAAAGCCAGAAAAAAACATGGGGTTTTTTTTCAAACCCACTTTTAACTTTTGAAAACCTCCCCCCCCCTTACTTTACCTTACCTTCGTCGCCAATCACAGCACAGCAGCGCAATATCATACAGTACAGTACTCGTACCAACCAACCACCATTCTCACCATTACGGTAGGTCTTCCACTACATACGGTATGGATCCCTACCAATAGACAAAACCGTAACCCCGACAGCCAGAAATAAACGCAAGCCACCTCAAACAAGCTTTTAAAAGAAAAGAAACCCCCCCCCTTCCGCCCGGCTCCTCCAAAACGGGGAACATCGATCGATGCCCAGCCCCCCCCAATCCGGAGGAAAGCAGCCGAACAACCGAAATCCGAAATACCGAATGATATGATACCAAACATTGACGAATCGTACAGTATTATTGTAGACCGGGAGCAACGTCCCACCACCCAAACGTCAGCTTAAGCCTCTCGTGCAGTTTGGTACTGTATCGCACCGTACCCCCCACCGTGCACTTATTCCGCCAAACCGAGACATGTCAAAACTCGCAACCGCGCTGTTTGCTGCTATTACCGTACCGCATCGAGCTGAGGGTAACTGTACTAGTACTAGTACTAGTACGGTTGCGTACGGTACTGAGTGTGAAGAGCGGATAGGAGCGGGACCTACAAGTATCGACAAGCTATGAATAAATAAATAAAACCACTGCGCTCAGCGCCACTGATGACGACTCGAAGATCTGTGGCTGTTCAATGCCTTGGACTAACTTCTGGCTCGGTTATGCAAATCCAACTTTTTTTTTTCCCCCCCCCTTCCTAATTTAATTTACAGCGGCGCTCTCGAGGGGGTCTAGACCTGGCCTACCGTACCCCAAGTATGATAAATTTGTGATATGATACGGTACCCGTACAAGTAGCAAGTACCAACGCATAGTTGGTTGTATGGTAGTGCACGAGTACCGGTACTCGAGAGTACCAGTAAATACTGTTGCTCGTATAATCAGGCAAGCTGACTGCGCCGCATCCTCCAAATATGCTCTGGCGGGACTTACATCGCGCGAAGCGGCGCTTCGCTGTTTTGATATTGTACTGCTACTGGTAGCCGACTGGCGGCTGTAATTTGGGGATTACGCGGTCCTGGCATCTGCCGGTGGGTATTGGCCTACGGATAGGCGCGATAGGGGGGAGGGGGGAGGGGGGAGGGGGAGGGGGTAGGGGGGGCGGGGTGTTTTTCTGGGCTGTTGGTATGCGGTTATTTGAGGGTACGATCCAAGTGCTCGATTCTGCCGGCTCTATGGCTGCACTAGTGCATCATGCGGTGGGATGGGAGAAGCGAGGTCGAGTTCCGAGTACCGTACGGGTCAAGGGACTTGGTACTGGTACGGTAGGATAGGGCAATTCTCGCGCTATGGTGGTGCAGGCATGTTCTCAACAGTGTACGTTTCAAGATTACAGAGGGGGGAACAGCAAGATGGGTAACTAGGAATTCCTCGGTTAATGGTGCCGGACTCAAGTGTCATTACCAAAATGACGTTACTGTATTAGATTTACCATCTACTGTGTCCTGTTTTTCTTACAGTGCTCAACTTGCCCAATTCTGCTTGTGCGATGGTATCATACCGGTACTCGTAGTGTACTGTACAGTACTCGTACTACGGTATACGAGTACGGGTACAAACACCCTCACATCTCACATTTCGAGTTCTCAACCCTTTTTACGGCTCAGCTCCCCCCTTCTGTCAATATGGTACGGTACTTTACTGTATCCAATATCCACTGGCGTTACAACCCCATCTCCGGAATGGATAAATGGATAGGGGTGTGGAATACCGTGCTCGAGTACTGTACTTGTACGAGTACAGTAGAAGGTGACTGGGGATGGGGATCAGGGGTGAAATTTGCGGTGAACTGTAGAATATTCTCGGGAAGAGAGGAGAGAGAGAGATGGTAGCGCCGTGTTCGGAGAATTCTGTGGTGGTAGGGAAAGGAGGGTTTTTCCCTCTCGAGGTTCGTGGTTTTGGTGAGGGTTTGGCGAGAAGGAGGGAAAAGGGAAGGAGAGGCGGAGGGGTGAAGGAGGGGGCGCTACCGTTGGGGCTATTCAAATGTGAAGCATTTGGGGGGTGTTTGAGACAACGCCATGGGTATCGAGTCGCTATTCGCAAGCGGATGGGACAAGCGAGAGAGATGGCTATTGCGCGAGCACTGTTGGAGAATCGAGAATACTCAAGAGGAGATGAGGGTACCTGTCCCAATATCATACTGTGCCGCGATGGAATTAGACGGCGGGTGGAATGCCAATAAACATCGCTATTCACAGGACGAGACTCCCGTACCGCTACTTCTCATCTCGCCTCTCCATCCCCCCACCCCACCGCCATTCTCGCCTCCGGGACCACTCACAGACGAGTGGGTACAAGTAACAGTGCAGAGGCCCAGTGCCAAGGCATTTGCTCATATGCAGGTACCAACGTTATTTGGCGCCGACACCATCACGACCATCCAATCATGGCAGTTTCAGGGCATCCAATTGAAACGCGAAAAAAGGCGTCCCGTGGTGGTGCTGATTTAAATACAGGAAAAACAGGAAGAAAATAAAAACAAAAACAAGCCCTTCATATCTAGGGAACGTGAAAAACGTGACGCCTCTTGCCAGCCGATTATTCTCCAGTAAAGAATTATTTTGGTCGGTTTCCTTTCCACGAGATGGGCACGGTAACGCCAAGTGTTCAGGGACGTTGTCGCCGGGATGATATCTGAATGGTTTGGCTCTGAGCCTTGCTCTGGTCTTCCTGCTTACCCTCTCGCCCCCCCTGTGAAGCGTTCCGTGTAGGAGGTTATCTGTGACGCTTTCCCTTTACGGTACTAATATTGCATGGCGATGATTGGGTTGTGGGCGTTATTACACTCGAGTACTGTTTCTGCTCTGCCCCTGTGAATCCGATTTGATCCACTGTCTGACCTGCAATGGATTGTCGGGATTGCTCTGCCCTCTCGTGTCGGGGCCATTCTTGGGGAGTATAAACTCAACCGTCCCCCCCCCCTTCTCCGTCTTGTCCGACCACCTTCCCCTCCTGCAGAGCAGAGCATTTGATCGTCGTGAGTGTTTGCAGGTTCACTACGCTATTTCTTTTCTTTTCTATACCTTCCTTCATTTGGCCTTCACTTCTTTTTGTTTATTTTTCCAAATCTTTTTTTTTCTTTTCTCTTCTTTTCTTCCTTTCTCGGTGATCGTTTGGTCTGAGACAATCGGTGGATTTTTTGCGTAGCTTGAACTCTCCGTCTAAACGCATCCCTTTACTAGCTCTAGGCTATAATCAATTTCGCTACATTCCTTCCTTCGGTCGGGGTCGGTTCGCTGTGCGTCGATCCGTCTTTCTTTACTGTCGATTTCCTTGTCCATCTTCTCCGCCTCTTTTGGTAAGTTTCGGCCAGCCCGCGATTAATGGGGTTGAAATGATAATTTGTCTGGAATGCTGAACGTTGGTGGCTAGTTAAAGAGTCCGATAAACGGATACCCCGCCATTCCTTTTAGCGTAGATATATCTACTAGCCGTTCGATCACGGCCCGAATAACCAATCCATCGCAAAAATGAAGTTCTCAATTGCAATTCTATCATTCCTTTCATTTACTGCCGTTTCACTGGCAGCACCCCATGGCGGTCACGGCGGGAGCGGGGGGGGCGACAGGAACCCTGCCAGCACGGATCCTAACCGACCGAAAACTTCGCAACCGGCCGGTAACGCGGGAAACAGCTCTCTCGATGGCCTGGACGAGACTCCGGGATCTGGTGGAAGCTACAATGTCATAGTTGATGACTCCGACCCGAGAACACTCGACGAGTTGATTGCGGAGATGGGGTTAGCGAAGGTGGATGTGAAATATGTTTTCGATAACTCTGCCTTCAAGGGGTTCTCGGCAAACCTATCAAGTCATTGCCTTGACAAGTTGAACACTATGAGTGGGTTTAAGATGTTTGAACCGGAAATGGACGTCCAACTTCACGATACACTTCCGGGAACTTGGGGGTTGAAGAGAGTTTCTCAGTCCACCCCGGTATCAACGTCGGGCAGTGACGTATCTGACTTTGATTTCGGGAGCTACGCTTTCGATGGGAGTGCGGATAGCCTTGGAAAGGGTGTTGATATCTATATCGTTGACACTGGCGTTAAGTAAGTTCGACAATCCTGAATATCGACCCGCACAAGCTAATGAGCAACAGTGTCGAACACATCGACTTTGACGGCCGCGCAACCTTCGGCTTCACCTTTGATGGCCAGGAGACTGACGACGAAGGCCATGGAACCCACTGCGCCGGAACGGCCGCCTCGACCACCTTTGGCCTTGCAAAGGCTGCCAATATCATTGCCGTCAAGGTCCTCTCTGGTGGCTCGGGTTCTTCCTCCGATATCCTCATGGGCATCGACTGGGTCATCAACAACCATGAAAAACGTCAGGGCTCTTCTGACTTCCGTGGTTCCGTCGCTTCAATGTCTCTCGGGTCCGCTACCCGCTCTGCAACCCTCGACGAAGCCGTTAAACAAGCCTCCGCTGCCGGTATCCACTTCTCCGTCGCTGCGGGAAACGAGAACCAGAACGCCTGCAATTCTTCTCCGGCCTCCGCGTCCTTGGGAACTGACATTCTTTCCGTCGGCGCCGTCAATGTTCGCGACCAGAGGAGTTCGTTCTCCAACTTTGGCCAGTGCGTGAGCGTTTACGCACCTGGTGAGCAAATTACCAGCACGTGGGTTGGACCGTCGAACGATGTCATCAATACCATCTCTGGAACTTCCATGGCTTGCCCCCGTATGTTTCCCCTTCCCGGCACCATATTACACACACGCTAACCTTTTCTAGATGTCACCGGCCTCATCGCATACTACCTCGGTCTCGATCAGGCCCTTAAGACCGACACCGCCGCGATGAAAGAGAAGGTTGTCTCTACTGCCCGCCAGGTCACCCTGGACAAGAGCGCTTCAACCGGCGACCCAGGTATCCTCATTAACAATGGGGTTACCAAGCAGTAAATTTGAGCGGAGAGCGGTAGTTTGAGTGGTTCATACATGTTTGTGTTATCAGGCGTTGTAAGCGTGTACAGCGGTGTACTTTTAGCTTTTCTTTTGTTTCCTCTCTTTTTTCTTCCTTTTTTTTTTTTTTTCGTTTATTTCGTTCCTTGCATTTCGCATTTTGCATTTTCTTTCGATCGTTTTTTTTCTTTTGATTTACTGTAACATTATTGCATTAGCACTTGTCAGGGGGGTGTTGTACAAAATGGAAGATTATCATACATGTTTGGGATTTTGCTGTGGCTTAGTCAGAGGGAAGCTTGTGAAGTGCGGATTGGCGTACCGTAGGACCTATGATACGTAGACCCCTGATACCAAAGTGCATGGCTACGATATGCATACGACAGTTCTTCCGTGAGAGCGGCGGCGCACACCCTACGCCGCTTAACCCTTCCCTTCCCTTCCCCCCCGAGCAGCCTATCCCACATGATACCATATGTGTATGATAACTACTATCAGCACAAGGCTGCAATGCAAACCCAGAACATCCAACGGTGTATACCGGGGTGAGATATCAACGGCCCCTCCCTGTGACCGGTCGGGTATCATATCTCGGCAAAATGCCAAGCGATGTACAATACTGCGATATCATCCCGAAACCGGGCACGAGGGGATGCCGTGGTTCCAAGGACAATTATCGGTAGTAAACTCCCGATCTCCCTTTCTATAGGGCGCTTAACATGCTACCGCAACTTCAACCCGCCTCTTTCCCCTCGGCGTTGAATCATTTTGCGGGTTCACCCGTATTAACCGCACCTATTCATTAGCCTGGCTGCGCATTATATACCTTATCGCAACGGGTTTGGGTAGGTATATTGGGTGGTGGTGGGGGGGTGTATGCGGTCATGAACTCTCACTCGGGGCGTTACTAAACGAGAATTGTTGGTCGAGAAGTGTGTGATTGGGCTCGATTTGTCGAGTGATGGTTGGAGGTGCGAAACTTACACCGGGGGTAGGGGCTGGCCTGTGTTTGCTGTGTTTTTGGGCGCCGTATCATACTGTACTCGGTATCCCGAACCTTGTCTGATTATCTCGGTTTGAGGAGGGTAGACGTGATTCTCTCCCCTTTACTCTCTCTCTTCCCTATTTCCGGTGTTTCATACTGTGCTTTTATTCTATTATCTGCCCGGGCCGGAGGCTCAGCGGGGTGTGATGGTGTAGGGTGCCCCACGGTCGGTCGGTAGAGCTACGTTCAGGGTGGCAGGTTTTAGTAATTGGGGTTATCTGGACGCCTCTACCGCGCCCATCTTTTCGAATAGCGGACATATGGCTGACCTCCTAAGGCACAGATTGCAAGAGATAGAAAATAATAATAATTTAGATTAGAAAAGGGTTTGGAAAATAGGTGGGGAGGATGAATGAGGTATCTAGTGAAAATTATCGCGAAAGAGTATGATAGCGGATTGATCTCCACCATTATTCAAAGAGAGATTCTCCACTGGTATAGTATCCAGGAGAAGCAAGAAATCTGTGACCTGTTTATTCCAAGAATTGCCATTACCCGATAGCAATCCCGGATTCCTTCGAGCCGCCACTGGTCGGGTTCGGTCCCCGCGGTGTACGGTATAGAGTTAGTATGGTATATCGTCGAAGGGCCCCCGGTCTAGCGAGAGCTGTGCACACTGAATCCGACAGAACCGCTCACCCACCAATATCAATTACATTTCGTTAGTCATTTACCTTTCCTTACCTGGCTGTCTCTGCGGAGGCTTTTCTGATAAGTCACTCGCTAGCCCTCTCCGATAAATAAATAAACAAATAAATAAATAGATCCATTGGCGGGTGATTGCTCCATGACACACACATACTCCAGGGGACAAATCAGTCGGGGGCTTTTTTTCTTTTTTTCTTTCAAGGTCGCGTGAAAGGCCCTGAAGGAGGTTTACCACAAGGCATTGAATAACTGCCCTCCTCTTTTATATGATACATTTATCGGTGTATCATGCGGGTGCCTGAGAGAGTTTTTTTTTTATTTTTTTTATTTGGCCGCACAGTACCGTACTGTGCATCTGCAATCCTCAAACCCATACCATTTTTTCTCCCTCCCTCCCTCGCCTTTGATGATTAGACTACGATAATATGATTATCATATACTGCTTTTCCCGGGAGGGGATCTTGTCCATAGCTGCCATGAGTAATGCTTATACTCCCTCTCATACCGAGAGTGCATGCACGCATCTATCTACTCCAATAATGCATACAACTTTCGGTAATGCAGTATGATATTTAATCTCTGGCGAAAAAAAAGAAAAGAAAAGAAGGAAAAAACCGGGTCCGGCTATCTACCGGTAGGATAAGCATTGATTCCCACAATAATATCATGCGAAATATCATATCAAGTTTTTTTCTTTCTCTCGCGGTGGTAAGATGTCTTCAATACCGGTATACGATTAGTAGGATGCCTAGGAATTAAATTCTCCCCATTTTTCAACAAGTCACTATTCGGCAATCCATCGCTCAAGGCATGATGTCGTAGGAGATTCAAGGAATCCTGCACTGTGGAGGCTGGGAGGAAAGTCTGAGGGTCCATAGCATTTGCCAATAAGGTTGCTGCGAGGTTTCTAGCGGAACCTGGCTCATGACCATATATATTAGGGGGCCTGGGGGGGGGGGGGGGGGAGGAGTAGGATAAGCTGCGGGCAGCAGCGATATGGTATGATACATGGAGCGAAATGGAAAATGGGGCGTGACTGGTATGACCGGTATGATAGGAATTGTATGATCATAAACTTCCTTTCGCTATCATATTTTGAGGTCCTTTCTATGTAACCCAACAGGGAAAGATAGAGAGGATACAGAGCAGGACATGTGAATCAAAACCTCCCGATCCTGCCGCAGACCACTGCTCGTCCCCTCCATTCCGCTACTACACACACCCGCAATAGATAACAAATAAAAGACAAGCCTGGGGGAATAGATGAAACCGCTCCCGGCATCCGGCCCAGAGTTCCCCGATCAACCATATACCTCACTGCCTTTCTCTGGGGGGTAGTAGTAGAGAGAAAGAAGGAAATAAAAAGAGATTCCTTTGTTTCCCTTAGTCTCAAATGGAAACCGCACACTCACAGTATTTTCTCAGAGAGAGGAAGGGAAAAAACACAGTGCTGAATAGTTTCCGCGGAAGTTAGAAGTTGGAAGATGTGAGATCCAGTAGGGTCCAGAACAATTACACAGAAGGCACAGACTTCCGCCACAGCTCTTCTGAGAACTTTCACACTTTCGAAATGGTACCACTACAGGGGTGGCGCTATGTGAGTACCGGAGCGGGGGAAGAGCTAATAGGAAGGCGATATTCCTTTCCGGCCGTGGCCTTTTGGGGCCTTTCTATGATTTGCTCAATTGATAGAGAGAGGGACAGGGGATGCCAGCGAGCGTCAGCCGGGGAACTTGCCAGCCTATATGGTCGTATTATCGAGTCTAGTGCTTGCGCTGTACTGTGCTATCTGTTCCACATACTATCTCCTCCCCGATCGGAATGTTATTCGCACTGCGTAACGCACGTCTTGCAAGAAGCTGGTGGGGTGTCCAGGTGAGGAATAGAAATCTAGTACGGAATGTCCGTAGAGAGCTGTAAGGGATGATATAAAGAGTAGGAGTCACCATCTACCGCGCTAACCTAGCCCTCTTTTTCTGCTTCTATATTTGCTATGGGTTTAGGGTGAAAGGGGGCAATTCAGGCCGACATTAGGCATACAGGAAGAGCTTGAGTTCTGGGAGTCAGCATATCATACTTATTCCTGTTCCTTCCTCCCTTGCAGAGGGGTGCAGGTTACACTCAACATAGTGTATAGCCTCCTGAAGGGGACTTGGAAGCTATGATAGCTTACGGAGCGGGTCACATGGTTAGTTGCCTGAAGAATCATCAGGTATCACCCGGCATCCTCCCAGAATCCCTCCCCGGGCAGCAGAATCGGTTCCCTGAACGGCAAGCGAGATAGCCAACATTCCCTCCATCTTGGAATTTGGTCCTTCCTTTCTTCCCTCCGTCCACCGCAGTCAACGTGGCATATACTACTATCGGTAGTGAGAGCTGGGAATGAAGCGGAATAGTTAAACTCGTTACGAGCGCTGTCGCCACTGCTATCGGCCGAATCTCAGGCCTTACCCGGAGCGAGCGATGAGCACAGCGAGGGAGCAAGCATGAAAAATTTAGTGCTTCCCTTGATATATGCCTCAGTACTTGGGTGTGATACCTTTGTTAAGATGGGGCTGGGATTGGAATTGGTTGGAGACCTGATGTGGGGGCCTTGCTGGTCCCTACCTTTTTCTGTGGTTAGATGGGCCATGACATTGCCAGCGGGATACCGTTGTATTGAGTTAGCTAAGCTTTAGCGGACAATTGATACTAGAAGTCTATAGTTTCTTGCCGTTAGGCATTCGAACGGAGAGATTACTTAAGATTGTTCATTTATTCAAAATTAAAGTTTAGTAATCAATTACCACGATCTCCAAAGTGGAAGGGGGAAGAAAGAAGATTGTACAAGGTATAATGGTATTAGTTCTCCAACCCCGCCATAACCCCTCTCTTGATCTTATCACACGGCATCACCCAACACTAACCCCCTGCTCATCGCACAACCTCACCAACACCTCCTCCAACCTCTCCATCATCGTAATTCTGGCCCTCCTAGCAACCATCATGATAAACCACCTCATGCCGAACGGAGATTTATAAACCTTAAACCGCTCCTTAACGGTAACCCCGCCAACGGAGTCCTCGACCCAAAATAAGCTTCCGGTAACAACTCCCAACTCGGCCCTAGAGGTGCTCAGCAAGCCCATGACTCCCTCCGGCTCCGAGAATTCCGTAGTGAATGTGGACGTCTTGGTCAGCCCACATGCGAAGGGTATGGGGATGCGATCGGTTATGGTGTATATATTGCTATCATCGTCTTCGCCCCCCGTGCGCGGTGGCGGTGGCAGTCGGTGGAAGGACTCGACGAACGGGTTCAGGGCGATCAGGTTCTCGGGGGTCTGCAGGAAATTTACCAGGGCGGTGAGTGGGGGACTTTTGGGAAGGAGTATGGTGGAGGTTATTGTGTCCAGGGTTACGGAGGTTGTTATCATGGTGGACTAGTCAAGTTGGTACGGGTATGGTATGGTGTGTGTGGTGCGCTTAGCAAGTTTGTGTGCTGGGGAAGCAAAGGGGAGGAGGGAGTGAGGGAGTGGTGCGTTGTGTAGTTAGTTATAGTGAAAGCGGGTTTGCTTGCGGCGGTCGGAGACGTGTAGCAGGTGTGGACGGAGCGCGGGGGAGTCTGGCTAAGATTAAGATAAACCTTCGACGGTGCTCTAACACAGGAGGGGGTAGGGGACCTCGACAATGAATACCATTAAAATCGACATAGAAATGACGGTTTGGCGATGGGTTGAGTAGGTAGGTATAGCGAAAATGCCTGGGCCGCCATGCTGCCCGTACTGACCTTTTATAGGTTAAATTTGCGGTAATTTTGAGTATCACGCGAGTATTTCCCGTCCTTCTTAATCATGCGGCCTCCTTACTGTTCCGGTGCTGGTGCCTAAATTTGGCCGTACTGCTGCTCCACATTCCAGCAGGACCCGTCACCAGTGCAGCACTGACCCAATCCCTCGACACGGAATCACATGGCAACAGTGCTTGCGCTATCATGGTCCACAAAGACCCACGGCACGGGTGCTTTAAACAACGGTGGTCCCTTTCCCCCACGAGCAATCCCGGTGAAAACAATCACAAAGGGCTTCGGGATCCCTGTGCTCAACTTAGGATCTCAAGGCATAGAAACAAACGCCCCGCGGGTTTACAGATATCCGCAGTATCACCTTTGGCCCCCAACTTCATTTTGCATCCAAGCCAACACCATCTAAGAGTCCTCTACGCTGGAGAACTCCATCTTGGTTTAGAAGCATGAGCAATCAGTCTGAGGAACGCGGGTGTCTCCCTGGGGGAGCTTGATCTATGATATGATCCTATTCGTAGGCCCAAACCCTAACCCTGCCCCCGAAGGGGTCTAGTGGAACCTCCTTTTAACAGACGCTAAAACTTGGCTTCCGGCCGGGCTGGTTTGTCTATGATATGATACCACACCGGCCGTACTGCGGTTTTTGTGTCGCCGGCCGCCTTCAGACGCTCTGTAGGCTCACCATCACGGCTGATGAGGCACCTCTGGATATCGCTGATTGGACAGGGTCACGGGTTTCGTAGCGATCTTAACCCCGGTAGCGTGAGGAGGCTTTCTGCCAGTAGCATCCAGCGGGCAGAGATTCGTGTGACGAGTTACGGTGTCTGTCTGCTATTTACTCGGGTATCACACCTATACGAGTACATCCGAGCACCCACACTGAACCCGGCCTCGGGTGTTCCGGTGCCTTCATGCCGGATGTGTTGGAGTGCAGTACTTTGTACAGTACGGTATACCGGTACTCGAGTACCGGTACCGTAGTATTATAGGTCCTTGTCGGAACTTGGCACGGAGAAAAAGAAAAAATTTCAGCCTTACGCCTCTCCCGGCGGGGAGAGATATGACGCGGGGAGTTTACCGATATCATGACCATCTCCGGAACTCGGCTGCAGGTACCGCGAAACGCTTTTCCCAGAGGAAATATTTGCTCCGATACATTTACACCAGATCTTGCTGAAAAATCGGGACATTCCCAGCGTGGTGGAGGATAGGTGTCCTTTTTCAAGATTCCGAGCGCAGTTCCAGATTCCGGGTGCAAGGTTGTATGGTACAGTACTGTATTATGCTCGAGCAAGTTCGTGTCCCCCCCCATGGGGATCGTCCCTCAAAACGAACAAATGGTGGCAAAAATGGGGAGAAAGAGGAAAAAAACCTCGTTAAACGCCCAGAAGGAAAGCAAAACGGGAGTGCTAGCCGAGTAACCCCGGGATTTCCCCAACCCCTCCAGAGCCCCCCATTTGGGGCGAGGCCTACCGTACCTGCCCGAAGCACTTTTCCCACCGACTAGCAGCAACATGTGGGAGGGAGGGTATGTGTCAATGACGTGAGCGGGGCTGGTTTCCTAATCCTACCAGGGAAAAAAGAGGAAAAGGCATGCGCCGGACAACTTTGGCAGCCAATTCTGGTGCCGGTGTGAGGGACATTTTAGGGACCTTGCATTCTGCGGATCGAGGTACTTGTGTTCAACTCGCAGTCTTCTCGCCCCCTCGTATTTAAAGACCACTGTGCGCTGGACTCTGCAATCGATTTTGGCGGATAGATAGAGTGGGCACAGGGCGATAGACGGCATGATGAGGGCCTTAGGACTTCGCGGGGAGCGACTTGGCTTCGCCGTTTCGTTCATCTGCACCACTGGTTTCTTGCTCTTTGGATACGATCAAGGTTGGTTTTGCTTTCCCGCATGTTTGCTCACCGAGGCTAATGAACGGAAAAAACCGAACTAGGCGTCATGAGCGGGATCATCACATCCCCGGAGTTCAACTCTGCCATTCCGGAAACGAAGGGCAATTCCACCATGCAAGGGTTTGTTACCTCGATCTACGAGGTTGGCTGTTTATTTGGGGCTGTGGTCGTCCTGTTCACGGGAGAGGCCATGGGACGTCGGAAGGCGATCATCGCTGGGGCTTCGATCATGATTCTTGGTGTGATTATTCAGGTTACAGCTTATGTCGGACATCAATCATTGGTAAATTTACTACCACCACCACCGCTGTCACCTTATATTGTCCATGGCTACTAAAAACTATCAGGCGCAATTTGTTATCGGCAGGATAGTAACCGGAATCGGCAATGGTATGAACACCAGCAGTATTCCAACATACCAAGCCGAGTGCGCAAAAACCAAGAACAGAGGACTTTTGATCTGCATCGAGGGAGGGTCAATCGCGTTTGGGACCTGTAAGTTTTGTATCCTGTCGTGACCCTACCCGGGGCTAACGGACGGCAGTGATAAGCTATTGGCTCAACTACGGCGTCAGCTTCGCCGGCGGCGACCTAGTCTGGCGTTTCCCCATTTCCTTCCAAGTGGTTTTTGCCCTGATCATCATCGCCGGCATGATGGTACTCCCTGAATCCCCCCGTTGGTATGTGTTCCCCATTCAACCCCGCCCTGGCCCTCCCTATAACCTAAGGTTCACACTTTATAGGCTCCTCTCGAAAGACCGCGACGAAGAGGGCACTTTTGTAATCGCCGCCCTCAACGGCGAAGCCATCGATTCCCCAAAAACCCAACTCGAAAAGCGCGTAATTCTCGACTCAATGATGGCAACCGGCGAAATCGGCAACAAGTCCTCTTTCCGCGATCTCCTGACAAACGGAAAAACCCAACACCTGCGCCGTGTAATACTGGGTGCAAGCTCCCAACTCATGCAGCAGATTGGCGGGTGCAACGCCGTGATCTATTACTTTCCCATTCTCTTCGAATCTAGCATTGGCCAGAGCCGGAACATGTCTCTAATCATGGGCGGTGTGAACATGGTCGTTTACGCAATCTTCGCGACGACATCATGGTTTATTATCGAGAGGGCTGGCCGGCGAAAGTTGTTCCTATGGGGAACTATCGGGCAAATGAGCGCCATGGCAATTACCTTTATATGCTTGATCCCGGGAACGCAGACTGCGGCTAGGGGCGCCGCTGTGGGGTTGTTCTTGTATATTGCATCCTTTGGAGCGACTTGGCTGCCACTGCCATGGTTGTATCCTGCTGAGGTTAACCCGCTGAGGACGAGAGGGAAGGCGAACGCAGTGTCGACCATCACGAACTGGCTATTCAATTTCGTGGTCGTGATGATCACCCCGGTGATGATTGACAGGATTGGCTGGGGAACTTACTTGTTCTTTGCTGTTGTTAATGCTTGCTTTTTGCCGTTCATGTGCGCCCTTCCTTTCTTCCGTACTTACTTCCCGCGTTGCTTGAGAGCGGTCGATGGCTGACTCCCTGGCGATGGAACAGCTACTTCTTCTACCCAGAAACCCGCCTCCGTTCCCTCGAAGAGATCGACTTCATCTTCGCAAAGGGTTACGAAGAGAAGGTCTCGTACGTCAAGGCAGCAAAAGAACTTCCTCTACTCTCACCAGAGGAGATCGAGGAGCACGCTATCCGCTATGGGTTTGCCTACGCCAGTGGGCCGGAGAAGCCTACGGATTTGCTCATCGGCGAGGACCGTAAGTCGGACTGATTTGTGCACATATGAATTGAAATAGACAAAGGAACTTGCGCTTTCTCCATTTCCTTCTTCCCTAGGTCGCAGCGAATAACAGAAGCACGACGTGCCTGCTCAAATGAGCCGGGGAAAAAAAAAAAATAGTATTGGTGCCATGAAATGAATTCCCTACCCCAAACTCCCCCCGCCCTTCCTCCCATGCAGCACGGCGATATCATAGGCACACGATTAGCTCTGCGGCCCAAACGGACCCGGTGGGTACGGCTTAGGCGGCTGGCCAGTAATCCCAGGTGGTCGGGACGTTTCCGGCACTGCCCACCCAAACTCCCTTCTTCATCCACCCTATCCACCATCCAGTAGCAGCGCAACCTATGCAGACCCTATCCCCCCTCTTACCCACTAAAGATTTTTAGAAGGGACAGAACAAACTCCGAGCACCCAGCTCAAGGCTCTCCATGCACTGCTCACGGGCATTATAAGTTCAAATGACAGTGAAAAAAATGTGGAAAGGAAGAAAAAGGAGTGGGCAAAGAATAGAAAGAAAAATTGGGCGAAGGAAGAAATGGAGAAATGGAGGAAATCAAGGGAGGGAAAAAAACATACTGGTTCAGAATCATGTATACACACCCTCTCCCCTTTCCCTGCACCTTCCTTACAACACCCACGAAATCCAGTCCTCGGTATCAATCCAACTCACCAGCAAGCACACATACCCTCCCTTCGGCAACGAGAGATCCTATGACTCTAATCGACTAGCTTTCCGCTTTTCTATAAGTTAGTATGGTTCGGTAGGAAGGTAGCTACAGGATCACCGGATCCCCTCTTGGACCGTGAGCACAGGTGAAGGAGGGGGAGGCGCGCTATCGGTTCTCAGTAAGATGGATATCCAGCTGGAAGGAGCACTTAATATGTCACCCGGGCCCGTTGAATGAGTGGAGGGGTGGATTGTTGGTGCCAACATAGTAGCTGAAGTCTACTTGCTCATGTCACTCGAGCATGGGTTATCACTCTGGGGTCATGATTGACACCACGATCCAAGCTTCCTCTTCCAAAGTCCCACCCAAACCGTAGAGTAACCCTTCGTAAACTACAATCCCCACAATATAATACCAATCCTTGCATCCTTCTTCGCACGCGGCCTCCTCCTCCTCCTCCTCCCAGGGGTTTCCCACTTAGGTAACCCCTCTGCACCTAGGACATTGGGGGGTAAGGATTCCAAACATACGCATATTATACTTTACTTTCTACACAATACATACCACACATACATGTAGCAAAATGAGTAACCCTATATTATCAACAATAAAGAGTAAAGGCCCCGACTAACCCCCCAAACAAGCAGTCGGCGCTGCAGCTTCTATCAACCCCTGTGCTAGCATCTGACGTGAGCTACCGCCTGAAGTGAAATTTTTTACCTTACATACTCCTCCAAAAAGAAAACTCTACCACAAAAAGACAACACCGTTTACGAGAACTAGTAGAGTTACTCGGAATCGACCGGAATCTGTAACTGGGGGGGTTTTTTTTTTGCAAAAAAAAGTCTTCTACTTTTTCATTTCCAAGTAAGGTAAGTTAGTCATTTTTATGCAACCGTGGCTCTTCGTATCATATCAGAAACAATTCTAGCATCGAATGAGATATGTATCATATAAAATACCCGGATTATACAAAATGGTTGTAAATACGAGATCAATCCTTTGGTGGGGGGGTGGGGGGAGGGGGAAAGCTCTTCATGTCCTCGGGTACCCCTTTTCCAAACCCTTACAAGTCCCAGAGAACGAGAACACAATCCACTCACGAGAGAGACTCTTTTCCGTTCCGTTCGATTCTGAAGGACACGGCGGAATGCCAGGCATTGAAAAACTTGAAAAAAACAAAATTTGTTCGGAATTTAATCCCCCCCTCCTTTCACTGCCCGGCACTGGACGTCAATGGGTGATCATGGTTAATCACTCGAGATAAACCCCACACCTCCCGACCTTTTGTGGCGGTGCGTCCTATCATAGGCGGCCGGATATATTATCCCGTTTCAGGGCGTTTCTGATGCAAGTACGACTGGGGGGGGTTTCGGGTTACATGTGCTGTATTGCACCCTATCGATCTAGGGGTATCGTGAGAGGTCTATGATAATATGATACGTATGACAGGAGACCGCTTCCTTTTGCGGATGCCTTTTTTGGTCCATTCATCGAGCCAATACTACACAATTAGCCAAGGCGTCATCATGTTCAACCCTAGACAAATATGCAAGTGCAAATACGAAGGTCCCCTCTAAATTAAACATGCCCAGCAGCTATTTATACACCGCGCGTCAAGTGCAGCCACCGATCACCAACCGCCAATCGACCTACAGCTCCAAAGCCTCGGTAACCCTCCACCTCCCTCCCCCGAGCTCCTCCAAGACCCCACGCCTAACACTCTCCACACTCCCATGAGAGTAAGTAGCCTTAATACCCTCATTCAAAACCTTGGCGCTCCCCTCGGGCACCAACGAGGCGATTTCGACCCTTCCCGTATCCCCCCTCCACACATCCACTCTCACCCACTCCGAATCCCCATCCCCCATGCGCGCCTTGAGACACGCGACATTGAGCAATCCGGCATCCTCCAACGTCTCGTAAATCCTCTCGGTAACATACTTGTGCGCCCTCCTACCGCCACACTTCTCACTCCCCGGAAATTCCGGCGCGGAGACGAACTCCCGCAACGTGCATATCCTTGGATACCTCGCCCGGATCTCAATTATCACGTCGGTCAGCAGCGTTGCAAAGCGTCCTGTCCTGAGCGTGGCCAGCTTCTCCCTGGCTTGATTCCGACGCGAGTGGAATGTCGGGACGTTAGGGAGGCATGGGGGCATGTCCGAGGCGTTCCCACAGCTGGTCGTTGCGATTCTGCGCGCCGCCTCGTCCGAGACGTCAGTTGAGAGTTCGTGAAGTTGTATTGTCGACAGACGGAGGAGCTTGTCACGGGAGCGCAGAGCGGATTGGCTGACCTCGCGGTCCAGTGGACCAAAGGGGGGTGTAGAGTTTGGGGGGAAGAGGAAGGAGTTTATGGTTAGGAAGTTTACGCGCGTTTCCTGCTGCAAGGTCGAGGTTAGGGTGTAGGTGAAGGATGCGGGGTTGAGGGGGCAGTCGAGGGTTAGGGTCTTTAGGGTTGTGAGGGGCGAGAGATTTGTTATAATGGCTTGCTGGAAAACACGCCCCCCGTTAGCTAATACTGCCCGGAATTTGTTGACGGGGCAGAGGGGGGAATACGAATAGCACCGGAGACTTATCGACCTCTCCAAGCTTATCCGACTCTCCGGCCGCATCATCATCCACAGCAACAATCCTCCCTTGCGCCTCCTCCCGAACGAGTTCTTGCTTGTCAACCAATTCTGACCAAAGCCTAATCCTTGAATACCTAAACTCCTCCAGATGTGGCAGTCTCCCCCTCAAATCCTCACCAGAGATACGCCCAAAACCCCTCTCGGCATTTATGTAGTACCTCAGTCCAATATGCAGCTTCCGAATCGACCGCGGCAGCCTCAACCCCTCAACGAGTCCATACAGGGGCCTCTGCAAGCTATGACATAAATCAAGTACCAGGTCCACCGCCAGCCAGGTTAACTCCTGCAGCGATGTTAAATTTGTCAAAGGCTGCGCGGGGAATACATATGCCGAGTTGACGAAGGATTGAGACCTCAGGGTGAGGGCTTTGACAATGACGCACAGTTCCGGATTCCTTAATAGTTTCAATCTATTAGCATGCAAGGGCTACATTTGGACGAGAGCGACTGAGCAACCTACTGGAATGTATGACGGGCCACTTGAACAAACAGCCTTTGCTCAGCTACGCTATCGAGCCCGAAACGCCCAATTTCTACCTCCCGGTAGAGGATTTCTAACGCCGTCAGATACCATCTTCGGCAAACGCGTGTTGCGACGCCAACATCTCTTGCGGCGTGTAAGTGACCGAATATCTGGAGGAGGATTTCGGTCGGGAGTTCAGTGATGGGACCTGTGCCCGGTGGCCCCGGTGGTGCCGGTGGGAGCCATGGCGGTGGTGATACTGGTGCTTTTGATTTCCTTGGTGCTGGTTGTGATAGTAGTGCCGTCGATGCGCTTCGTGCCCCTTGTGCTGGAGCCGCTGTCGGTTCCGCTGCTGTTGGTGCCGGAGGTGGGCCTCGAGCTCTCGGTCTATTAATCAAGAATGACAACGAGCCTATCTTCCTCACAATTCTCTCCATCTTCGTGAAGGTCCGCTAGAGTGCGGTACCACGCCCAAGACTAACACTAATAGTGCAGTTGTACCGTAGTTTGTGAACGCATCTCCTCCGATACGATCGCCCAAACCCAGGGGAAACCAGGAACCCACCTCCAACGCCCGGGGGCTGGATACGGTACTTGGAGCCAGGACGCCGCGGGAAAGCCAAGCCTGGGGCTGAAATGATCCCGATGGCCACCCTGAATGGCCAACTCGAGCTCACACAAGTACTAGTACATGCGGGCGCGGGAGTCAAGAAAAAAAAAAAAGTAAAACCCGCTCTCCGGAGAGGGCGAAACTACAGCTGCGGCTTTCGCTGTGCTCGCCTGCGAGAATTCAGATGCCAAACAGTATCCGCAAGTGTTTGTAGAACCAATAAATGCGGCACCATGCTCATTGTACTCGCGTACCGGCCCCGTGCCCACCGGTATCATGTGGCGGCAAGTGTACTCGTACAGTACGTACATGTACGGTACCCCTACTCGAGGATCGGCCATCGGTACCATACTCCTGCAGTTGCGGCGCTGAAGATACTTGTACTACTTACTTGTACCGGTATGGTAGCGTGCGGGAGAGAGGAGGGAGTTACCGGCGAACGGACATGTGGACCTGACTGCCCCGTCTTGCTCGCACAGTTCCACCCTGTCCTCGAGTCCGGCGCTTGCATGGTACCGTACCGGTATTGCACTTGTATACGATACCGGTAGTACTCGTGCAGCACTGTGCCCCCCCAACCCTAACCCAGCCCCTGCGGTCATCCCTATGGAGGATGGCTTTGGACAAGAGGCTGAGGTCAGCGTTGGGGAGGTAGAAAACGCTTTGGATAAATGCAGCAATACCTCCGCACCGGGGCCTGACCAAATCCCTTATGGGGTATGGAAACAGGTGCATAAGGCGAACGACGAAATACTGCCATACCTGGCGACCCAAATGTTGAAGTGGTCGCTGCATCCGGAGATGCTAAAAGAAAGTTGGGGCATCTTGCTCCCTAAACCAGGAAAGAAAGAATACGCCCAACCAGGAAGCTTCAGAGTCATCGCCCTTATGCAAACGTTCTCCAAACTGATAGAACGGATTGTGGCTCGAAGACTGGCTAGAATAACTTGGGGCGGGGGGTACAACTTAGAACAGATGGGTAGCGTAGCTGGGCGAAGCACAGCAGATGCAGCTATGGCACTCTACAACAGAGTAACCGAGTACCAGTTTGCCGAAAAGAAAGTCTCGTCATTGTTTCTCGACATTAAGGGGGGCTTTGACAATGTGGACCACAAAATAATGCTAGACACTATGCGAAGCCGAAAGTGCCCGGGATACCTGCTCATGTGGATCAATGCATTTGTAGCACACCGGAAGTGCACTATTCTCTTCCCCGGAGGACCCAAAACATCACACAGAATAGATACGGGAATCCCACAAGGGTCACCGTTATCACCACTGCTCTTCGTCTTGTATGTGAGAGAACTACACCTAGACATGCCTACTGAGGAAGGCTTTATGCTCTCCTATGTAGATGATTTCAAGATAACAGTAGCGAGCAACTCCTATGAGAGGAACGTCACTGTGTTACAAAGGGCATGGAGACAGGTCCGACAAATAGCAGAGGGGCTAGGACTCAGCTTCTCAATTGAAAAAACAGACCTAATACACTGGACAACCCCAAGACAAAAGAAGAAACCAGAACTATTAAGTGCAAACCTGAGCGGGTACGAAGTTAGCCCGACCATGAATGGTCTACGCTGGTTGGGATACTGGTGGATGCCAGGGATGGCAACCGGGACACACTTCTATAAAAGGCTGACCTTAGCACAAGTGGCCTTTAATCGAATTCAAAGACTCTCCGGATACAGAAAAGGCCTGACACCTTACTCGTGCAGGCGACTGGCGAAAGGCGTAATCCTTCCAACGCTGCTGTATGGAGCGGAGGTATTCGACCCCCCGAGTACGGTCCTCAACAAGATGGAAACCTTTTGGAGAAGAGTTCAAAGGTGGATAACGAACTGCTTTTACGCGACTGACATAAGGGCATTGAGTGCAGAGGCATGCCTTATGCCCCTAGGCATGTATGTAATGCAGATGCAGTCGATGGCAGCGGTGAGATTTGCCACGGCAGACCCAGAAAACAACTATGCCTCGGCCATGATGCCAGGAGGATTCCCCATGAAAATACCATACAGAATAAATACTGCGAGAAGACAAGCGTTCGACAGGCCTGGGGGGACTAGGCCGCGAGTGTGGAATTCGAGTAGTACAACAACAGTGCAACGATACCTGCCCATAGACAGATGCGCCGCAATTGCGAGAGTGGCCTACCAAGGTTGGGTCCTCCCGCTCAAACCTCACCCCTTCTATACAACTTCGGAAGAAAACGACCGACGATACTGGAAAGGGATAGACCGCATCAGAAATCACGTTCACGACCTGTGGTGCGCACGCCCGTACCCAGAGAAGTATAAGTGGAAACCACCGTTCCGGTCCTGCTGGACATACATGAACAAGCCGAAGTTCCTGGCAGGACGGGTACATCAGATCAAGGCCGGAAAAAGCTATCTCGCTAATCAGCGAGATTGGAAGACAAGAGAGCAGGATCGCACCTGTAGAAGGTGCGAGTTAGAGGATGATACGCTGGGACACATCATGAATAGGTGTCCGGTAATTGAAACAACTTGGAGAACTTTAGACTTGAGAGTGCGCGATTTTAGTGCCGATTCAGTGGTTTTTGGTTTCAAGGATGAAGAACGGGGTTTCATGGATGATTTGCTAAAATTGTTTTCGAAACATAAGGTTAATTTTCCGGTGAAAGGGGAGTCACCATTTACCAGAATGTCACAGTTGCTTTCCTAATATTTTGTATTGAGGGAAGAGACGGTTGGAATAAGGGCCTGGTTGCCTGGATTGGTTTTTGCTGATTGGTTTGTTTGGTTATTTTATTGATTTCTTTTGTTTGTTGTGTTTTTGGGTTTTTACGTCATAACCTACTGGTTGCATACGGAGATTGTACCCTAGAAACAATTAAAGGATTTAACAAAAAAAAAAAAAAAAACTCGTGCAGCACTGTGCCCAAATCCCGAGACTCGGTTGCACGAACACGGTAGGAGTTGAAAGAAAAGGAGAAAAGACAACCTTTTGCCATTGCCTGCGTTCATGCATTATTGCAGTGCAGATACGGATCGCGCTCGAAGACGGTAGGGTGCCCGGCCCCATTCCTCAAGCTGGAAATCGCGGTAGGGTACCGTACCATGATGAAATCCCCTGGAGGAATGTGAGATAAGATAAGGGAGGAGGAGCCCCACAAAAAGCACAAGATGGCCCAAGGCCGCTATGGTTCAAGCAAGTTCACCTCCGTACGAGTACTGTACGGTAAATCCTCAACCCCCCGACCCGGCATTCCGCACACGCTACTATGAGTATTATACTCGTACTTGTGTGATACTGTACTCGTACATGATGCTGTATGTTCCCACAATCAACTACGGTAGGTCACCCCGCCAGTGTACTCGTACGATACCCACGCGACCAGCATAAATGGGATAAAGCAAAACAATTGTAAAATAAAGCGAGAGAACGAGATGACACCCGAAACGCCCTGATCCAAAAAAGCACAGTAAGATATTTTCCACGAACGATATCCGCCACATCGCATCGCATAAAACATACCTGCTGCCGTCGCACAGGAAAAACCAAAACTCGTACCGATAACATCCCCTCCCAACCAGACTGCTACCCCGAGCAGACGCTCACTTCCTCCCACCCCACCAGCCCTCCCACCTCAACACACCCTCGACCTTCTCCAGCACACTCATATCCGCCCACTGCGCTGGACCAGCGTCAGCGGGCCCTCTTCCGACCCCACCGACGTAGCTCCTCGATAACTGCCGTGACCCCCATTAAAATCATGGGCTAATGAAGGCGAGGAAGGAGGAACAAACCTTTGGAGACCGACTCCAAGCCTCGACCGTGGTGATCACGTACGCTGCCAGAGCGAGCAGGAATACCGGCGTTACGAGGACGGCGAGGCAGGTGTAGAACGGAGAGGGCTTCTGGGTCGCGGATATTATGCTGGTGTTTGTTAGTGTGGGAACCGTAGCGAGGGCCGGAGGGTAGAAGGGAGGAGAGGGGGCTAACTGTAGTAAAGAGGGCATTGTGTGCGCGATATAGGAATTTGCTTGACGGAAGGAAGGAGAAGGGGAGGTGGTGATCTTCAATTCGTTTTCCCGTATTCTGTTTGGTTGCGTATAGTACCAGCGTTCCACAATGTGAATTCCGCGAGAAGTCTTGCCGGAAAGACGAAAACCGAGTCAGAGAACAAAATGGATGAATCCGCCCGACAAAACCTCCTCTCTTCCTTCCTCGAAACGGCCCGGAGAAAACGAGGATTTATATGCTCTCCTCCTTCCCCCAATGGATCTCCCCGCAACCCACCCAGAAGCACCACAACACCATCAGCAAACACACCACCACTACTCAACGGTGCCACCTCAAAGGAAAAACACCTCGGGGCAATTCCGAAACAGCATTTCCTTCCCCCCTGAAAAACATGGTGTACCGACCCGCTGCATCGCTGGCTCGAGTGACCTCTCATGCGGGAGGGGGGATTTGTATGCTGCCTGACTGGAGCTGGGCTGCCAATGGGATTGGTGATGGTGGGTGGGCGCGCGGGAGGTTGCGTTGATTGATGGGTAAAGTGTCGGGCTATGCGGTATGAGGCTTCACAACTCGTACAGAATACGTAGAGAGCGGGGGAGGAAGAGATCGGGTTGATTTTTGATTGATTGGGACTAGGATCTACAGTTTGGACTCTGGGGGATCTGGAATTTACGTGAGGTGTTTATTTTTTTCCCCCTGCCTGATTGGCTTTGTGGGGGTTGGAGTGGAGTGGTGGGGTTGGTGAGTATCGGGGATGGGTTAATTCGGCAGCGTATCGCGAGTGGATTGCTGGGTGCCTGTCCTGCCGTACCACCATAATTATTATGGTTTGCGCTGTGCTTGTGACCGGCACGATACAGCACGGTACTCGAGTGCGAGTGTTAATCTATTGTTCTGTATGCTCGGCGCTAGCTTGCACCGACAGTCATACTCGTACAGCGGCACAATTGCGAGAGATTCGAGCTGATTGGTTTCATTGACTGCTCGAGTAAACTACGAGTGTGGCCGATAGATATATTAGTCACGTGCATTATCTCTGGACACCACAACCAGAAGGCCAACCAAATTCTTATCTTATCAGACCCACGTGACTAATATATCTATCGGCCGCAGCGTACTGGCTTCGCATACTCGGGTGCAAGTATCGAGGTACTCTTGCGGTACAGATATTTTGGCTGGCCTGGGGAAAAAGTGGGACAAGTTTGGAAAAGTATCGGTATCCCCCAAGCAGGCGAATCGACTCAGCATAAGGTTACCGGAGCAAACCATCCCCGAGTTCTGCTTCGTCCAGTACGATAGCCCAGCGTATGAAGGCAATTAAACACACGAACATAATTCCTGTACTTAAACCTACTCAGCACCAAGCGGTTTCCCACCTACTCGAGTATATGATACCACCCCCACCCAGCGTTGAAGGCACTAGAAGAAGATCCATCCATGCACCTGTTTATCAGGCTCTCTGCATTCATAGCCCCTGACCCGAATTTTGGCTCACATTTTTGTTGAGATCTGGTCATACTATACTGTCAATCACTTTCCTCCGCGCACTCAATTTAATATCTCATTTCGGGACAGAACGCCGTGTTGTCTATTCCGGGCCGAATTAGAATATCTACTGTATATATGCAGGGGGGGGGGGGGATATCCCCCGTTTCCGGATCTCTAACTGAAGCTCGAAACACATACGTTTAGTGTGTTGCCTTCCTCAACACCACGCTTCCCTTGACACGATGGATTGAAGGACACATTTTGTCACCCAGCTTAAGGTCGCGGGAACGATTGCCCAGGGTTTGGGAAATGCTCGGCTCACTGTCTGAAAGGAGCAGTGGATAAGCGGTGAAATGGCGTCGCGTTGCAATCGCGGTGTGGGCTGTCGAGGACAGGGTTTCTATTTCTCTTTGTTCTAGCTCATCGAACAAAGACACTACTACGGTGGAAATGCAGACAATCAAATATCCACTAGACTTCAAAATATGACTTGCAACGAATTGGCTATTGCCAAACATCGAAGCTCTTCCCACAAAGGTATTATAAACTCCCGGATAGTGTCAAAGAAGAGAGAAATATGGTAATATCCCCCCCCCACAGCCATGATTAAAGGGCTAACCTTTGTTTTAAACAGCTTTATATCCTGCGCTCTCTGTTCGCTCGTCGACGAGCAAAACCCTACGAGTAAAAAGAGGTGAACAGTTATATCGCGAAGGATCTGTAGCCGACGCAGCTGCGCTACCCTGGAACAATGGAGCGAGAAAACGATGATGTAGAGTAATCCCCCTCCAGAAGTTACTCAAAACCACTCCTTCTCCTTTATTAACGTTCCGATCGTGGTATAGGTCCCCGGACCTCCGGGGAATGCAGGGGAAGATGAATACCCCCCTTACATGGCCTATTTCCTCCTATCAAGCTTCACATTGGGCCTCTGGATCTTCCCCTGGCTTCCTTTCATCTCAGCCCTAGGATGGCAGACCAAGCTCCTGCTCATCATACTATTCTCCTACCTGACACTGACCAGCTACGCGCGCAATCGCTGGATAAGTCTCTTCGCAGCGCAGACTCCCGTGGTGCTCTGGTGGTGGGCTAACCGCGTTCCAATATTCAAGCTCGCCCTGCTGAAGATATTTATCGACGGGCTGTGGCACTACTTCCCCGAGTACGTGCTCGAGTACGGGCACGTCCCACTGATCTCTTTTCCGCTGGGGCTGGTGCTCGCGCATGTGTATCCGGATGGCTTCGGAGAGGTTTATAAGGCACTCTGGCGGAAGGTGGAGAGCGGGGTTGGTGTTGGTGTCCTTTTGCACGGGAGTTCTCTGGGTTGGCCTAGAGTGCTGCTGGGACTCGCTGCGATGGGTGCGTTTCTGGTAAGGAGAGGGCAGAGGAAGGATTTTGTCCGGGGGTACTTGCTCTTTCTACTCATCTCATTCCAGTGGCCGGGGTCTGCTGCTGTCGTCCGTAGTCTTGGAGAGCGGGCCTGGGGCGGAGGATTGGGGGTGGCTGTCTACATTGAGGAGAAATGGGCTGGGTTGGTTGGGTCTGCATGGGAAATTCACATTTTGATGATGATGGGGTCCTTCTGGGGTATACTGGCTTTGGTTTTTACACGGAGGATACGGAGGAGGTCTTGGAGGATGCTGTTGGATTCTGGGTCCCATAGTCACCATCCGCCGCCTGACGACGACGACGGCCATGATGGCGATTGGGACGATGGGGACGATGGGGACGATGGGGACGATGGGGGTGATGGAGGTGATGGAAGTGATGGAGGTGATGGAGGTGATGGAGGTGATGGAGGTGATGGAGGTGAGTGGAGGTGAGTGGAGGTGAGTGGAGGTGAGTGGA